AGGGGGGACTATGAATGTATGTTTTTTTGTTTTTTATATACATGTACGTACGTGTATGTGTATGTGTATATGGGTGTATGTATATGTGTATGTAAATGTGTGGGTATGGGTGTAGGTATGTACATGTATATATATGTGTATGTGTATATGTGGGTATACATATGTGAGTATATGGGTACATGTATTATTGTTATTATTCTTTATTTCCTTATCTATTAATTTTTTTTAAATTATCTTTTACATTACTTTATTTTTACCTATATATGTATTTATTTACTTTACTAGCTAGGACCGGGAGGGGGGGGGGGGGGGTGAGGGCAAATATAGACCGTATAATATATGTAACTCATTGTGGCTGACTCAATAAAAAAAAAAGATAAAAAAAAAAAGACTTGAATTAGTCACACACACACACACACACACACACACACACACACACACACACACACACACACACACACACACACACACACACACACACACACACACACACACACACGGCTGACTCCCTCTTTTATCTCTGAACTTGTGATTAGCACTTAGATTGTTACAGCTCTACAGTTGGTGCTGTAGATCAACACAGCACCGTTTCTCACTTAATCTTCTTGAAATGTAACATAGCTGTCGACACACACACTCACACAACACACACTGTTGCCACGTAGCCAGCACTGCTGTTTGTGCTCAGCAGTGTGTTTTGGATGCTTAAAAGTCAGGTCACTGTGCTGATGTTGATTCTCAGTGATTTTCTATCGATTTTCATTCCCGTTATAAATTGGAGGCAAACACTCTGCCATGCAGCTCACATTGTTTTTGTGCTGTGCAAACTGTTGGATTTGGATCAGTTTTTCTAAATGTCAGCAGGAGAGAAATTCTGCCAGAGATGTTAGGTCATATTCATATTTTGTTCAGCTGTGGTTGGAATAATTTATCAAAAAGTGTGTTCTCTTAATTTTCAAGGAAGTTTTATTTATATAAGGAATACATTTGTAGTTAGGAAATATATTCCTTGTAAGAGAACTTCAAATCACAAATACATATTATAATTTATTATCACCTTATTAATTAAAACATAGTTATTTATATACACTTCAATTTACACTTGCTTTAGGTTTTTTGTCCAGTTCACATGCTGGGACTAATGTTTATTTGCAAAAGTACCATTTGAACATTGTCTTCTTTTTTGTACAATTAGTTAAAATTGACAACGTTTCTACCTGAGAATATCTCAGAAATCTGAACATTCTTGGGAAGTTGCTCAGAAATGAGAATCCCTTCAACCAATTTATTTCTCTTTCCTTTAAGTCAAAAGTGCTTTCTCACATGTAGAAAAAAGACACCGCCCAATCGAAGCACTATCTCAATCCATAGAGATACTGTTTTTTATTTCTTTAATCAATAAGATTGATAATAGTCAATACTTTTCTGCATATCTTCACACAGCACAGTAATACATACTCTTTATACAATCAATACATTCATTAGGAGGAACAACTGAATTATGCAAGCCTATAATTACTCCAGTACAATCAAAAAACACAGTTCAGAAAAACTGCCATGGAGGATCAAAGGTAAATACTCAAAACAGGTAATTGAGTAGAAAATCACAATCAGTAAAATACCAATAACATTGCCAGAAGCTTCAGTTTACATTCATGGATATATCCTTATAATGCTGTGCTGCATGTAATTCTATTCATCATGATTGAGTATAAATACACATCTTACATACATAATGGTCCTATGGCACAAACACTTTTTAAAGCTTCTTTCTGTTTAAGACGGACATTATGTACACACACACACACACACACACACACACACACACACACACACACACACACACACACACACACACACACACACACACACACACACACACACACACACACACACACACACACACACACACACACACACACACACACACACACACACACACACACACACACACACACACACACACACACACACACACACACACACACACACACACTGTAGAGCCTCACAGGTAAAGAGAGAGACAGAGAGGAAATGCAATTTCACCCTCTGATTGATTTATGTTTGGTTATATTTTTTATATCTGGATGAAGAAAACACAGATCTTGGGCATTACTTGTTTTCTCTTATGTAATAGGGATGATTACTTGGCATGGTCCCCCCTCACACACACACACCTCCCACCTGCTCCCCGAGCGCCTCACGTGGTAGACGAAGAGACACCCGCATGTGACCCTCTTTCAACACCCCCAAATAATCTGCTTTGGTTTCCCAGCATGCCTGTGTAACTCCCAGGAGGCCCCGGGAGGCGCTGGTTTTCCCACAAATGTCACATTAACATTGCTTGAAACAATGGTTAGGGTTGCACGAGAATGAATGTCATGACAACATTGATCTGGCATGAGTTCCTCAGTCTGAAGCCTAAATAATTTCTTGTTATCTAACTTTCTTAATGATCATTGTCGGATCATTATGCAGTATTGATTAAGGATCAAAGCATGCATTTTAAAGCCTAAATGAAATGCAACACACTGCTAAGGATGACTTTGATGGACCTGGAGTCAAAGAGCTCACTGACTGATTATCAGTTATCGACCATTTGGCCGTTCATCTCCATGAAATAACGCTTGACATACACCGCTTTCATCTCAAGGTCCCTACCCGCATGGATCCATTTTCTGATGAGGATTCATGGAGCGATGTACCACGTATGACTTCAAGGTTATCAGATAACGAGTAAAAAGGACACTTGTGAAATTAACTTTGAGCAAGAGCATTTGACATAAAGTGGGAGAAAAGAGGAATGAGCAGCGGGTCTGCAGAGTGAAGGAGGTGAGAGAGAGAGATGGCAGTTAAAGCTGCCTCATTCGCACAGTAATTTGGAATTAAATCAATTTGTAAAGAACAAAGAAATGAGAATTGAGAGTGGAGGAACCAGTCAAGAAGTGCATAGCTGAACTGAAAAGGAGGGAATTAGGAAGTTGGGCAACAGGTTCGCTACAAATGGAAAGAATATTGGACATTTCCAAGAATAAGAAATAGTGCCAACAGCACTTGGATAAAAAGTGTTTAAATCCTCTGAATTGAAATGGAAGATTATAAAAAAAAAGTTTAAACTGATCTTTGAATTTGTCCATGATATAATTGATCTGCTCAGATCTGTTACCAAAATTGACATTGCTACACATAGCGGGAGGTTTTGCCAAAATGTAACCTACTTGTGAGGTGCATGCAGGAGGGGTAGCAGGAGCAATTTGATTGGTATATCAGATATGACCATATACTGCTACCATGTTCAAATGAAATGGGAGGTAGAGATGTAAAGAAAGATTTTCATGTTTTCAAAAAGAAAAACGCATTTGTTGAACTTGGGTTTAAACGCACACTTTAAGCACCAAGAGAAACACTAAAAAAGTAAATGTATAGTTCTATGTTATTTGACATCATCCAGTAAGACGCTGAGTTGGAAATGTAAATACACTCAGTCATGGTAAAGATACAATAGTTACCTACTTATTTAACTAATATCATTAAACTGGCAATTTGTTAAAACAGGGTGAACACTCCTTGCTCTAAAGGACATGTCTCGTTAAGTCAGGATTATTCAACCTCTCAGCAATATAGCTGGTTAGTACTGTTATTATAACCTTCTTGAAAAGCAGCCAAAACGTTCAAGCTCTTGCCCTTATTTTCAGCTGCAGCTTGTTTTTTTGTGTTAATCGCAACCTGCAGTGACCGCCTAAAGTGTCTCCAACGTGAGTGTCGAACAAGAGTTTGAAGGGCATGGCTTTATCAGCTCTGACAGACGCACATAACATTCATCCGATTTAAAGCCATATCCATTAAAACAAAGCCTGATGTGTCTCATATCTTCAGGCAGATATGAACAGAAATCTGCCCCTTGGCTCAGCTCCTTTCTCGCTAGATAGATGAACGCTGCTAATGCTGCAAGGTGTCTGCAGAATGAATGCGCATTGATCTCAATGTGCTCTTTCTGTGGGCAATACAGAGCACAATGTGAGTGTAAGTGTGTTAGTGTCTTCATGTGTGTGTGAGTGTTAGTGTTTGTTAACATTTATGGTTTGTTACTGGGCAGGACTCTGGCAGCACTGAGACAGAGTTGATGTACGTGACTGTGCTTGGATGTGAAATGTTACTGAATTGCCATCAGCCAGCAGCAGAATGAGCAGAGCTAAAATGTGTCACTGTGGCCCTGAGACCAAATTCACTGCTGCACCATGGGGCAGAAAACCTTGGATGAGGAAAAACAAAAGTACAGATGTTTACGTCATCTCTATCTCTCTCTTTATCACTCAGTCTTTCAAAAAAGCTAAAGGGTTATACAGCTGTTACATTCATTATATTCATCCAGATAGTGGTTAACAGTAAGTCATCACGGACCATTAATAGTTAATAGAGGACTATCTACTCATAGCAGAAATTTCCTCTTCCTAATATTGGATATGTGATTACTAGTTTAATGACACTTTGCACAAGTCATATTTTTTGTCTTATTTTTATGTGAAGCCACAATAACAGTCTACCATTACCAAATAATACATATTTACCCAACAATAAGCAGAGAGACCTGAACCGCTAGGATAAACTTGGCACACACAAGATAAAAGTCAGGTAGGGCTGTTCATTTGATGGTAGCCCAAATTAACATGCCATTGAGACTCCTCTGCATATTAAACTGGAAATGACAGCGCTTTTTGAACATTGCTTGAGACACAGCCAGAACCGTTGATGACTCTGCCTGAGTGGTGTCACCCCTCGAGGTGAGATGTTCAGTGCCAGGACTCTGACTGGAAATCTCTGCTTTTTGGGAATGTCTCCCAACGGACAAAGACACAGCTCCTCATCGTTGGCAGCAGTGTGCAACAGAGACCGTCCATAAATAAATCAATGTCTTAGTATTTGAAGCTTCACAGATAATAGTTGCCAGTTTATTATTTTGCGCTGTGGCTCATTCAAGTCAGTGAGAGGTGGGGGTTGATATCCCTTGATCAGTCCGTAAGTCTAGAGTCAGTCATACAGTAGCTGTAATTTTTTGCATGGAGAAAATAATCATTAGTTATTTGATGCTGGTTGCTGCCTTTTGAATACTTTTTTGAACATAAGAGGCCATTTTCTGTTAAGTACGGATCTGCAGTTTCCATCTTGCTAGCCAACCGCTTTGTTATCGCTCAAAGCTAGCTAACTGAACCTATGTGCTCTCGGGTGTGTTGACATTTTCAAGCCTTGTCCCAAGGGAGCAGAGCTTGTCACCAAGGAGACAATGTCTGAATATGCTTCCCAACAACTGAGGGTTGGGGTAGCTACCGTGGCCGAGGACTCAAGAGGATATACAGATGGGCTTCCCGTTTTTGTCGTACTGGTACACCAACATCTTGATGCAGTGGGAGTTGGCTGGTGAGATCCAGGGGCTGCTTGTGATGGAAAAGTTGTGGCTGGCGTAGAAAGGCTTCTGCTGCTTCCGGCAGCGGACCAGGGCTCGCAGCACGTTGGCTGCCATTCCCCTGAAGCGCTTGCTGATGAAGCAGTAGAGGAAGAAGTTGACCCCGGTGTTGAGCAGTGCTAGCATGTTGGCCAGATCGGTGAGCACATGGAGCAATCTGCCTGCACTCTGCGAGGCTGGAGGAGAGGAGTAAAAGTGGTACAGGATCATGAGGGTACGTGGCGCCCACAAAACAGCAAAAATGGAGGTTATAGCCAGGAGAATGGCAGTGGTTTTGCCTGTAGAGTAGCCACGCAGACGAAAGCAGCTGCGGCGTCTGCGCAGCTTACGCACGATGACAGCGTTAAGGGAGAAGAAGACTGTGCAGGGGAGCAGGTAGACGGTGGCGCAGTGGGCCCACACCAGGACATGCTGGACCACGGTCCTCCCGTTTCCCTCCCCTCCTCCTCCTCCATCACCGTCGCCCACCCCGGACAGGCTGTGCCACAGCTCAGGCCACCAGTAGTAAGGCGCTGCGGAGAGCAAGCACCCAATATACACAGCGAAGATCACCCTCCGTGTGCGGGCTGGGTAGGAGACTGTATGGTAGCGCAGAGGGTGGCAAACAGCGATGTAACGGTCAATGGTGAGCGGCACGGTGATCCAGATGGAGGTGTGGATGGAGGAGAACTCCAGAACCTGCACTGCATTGTTTAGTGATGGAGGCAGCGCCGTGCCCAAAATAAAATCCTCCAAAATGAAGTCGACAAACACGATGAGGAGCAGGACCAGGATGTCGGCGGCTGCCAGAGCCAGGAGATAGTTGTAGGAGGACTTCTGACGACGCAGCACCAGCTGGGACAGGATGACCACTGTTAGGATGTTAGCTAGGTGGTGGAAGGATTAGGGAAGGTGATTGGAAGAAGATAGGTGGAGGAAATATAGAAATGAAGTGAAAGTATGATAAGATTGGAAATGTAGTGGACACAGGTTGGGGCAGGGAAGGAAAGAGAATAATTCAATGTTAGTGGACAGGCCATTGAAAAGAGGCAGCAAAAAACATGAAAGCAATTGAGATGCAGTGGACATACACTAAAGGTAACAGACAAATGAAACTGCACTAGCACACAATACAAACAATTTTCAGCACCATCAAAAGCTGCAAGCAAACAGTTTCATGCTGCTCAGTGCATAAAGAAAAATCTGTTATCTTCCCCAGTCAGTATGTACCACTTTCAACCAGCTCTCCTTTTGTGTAGTCTCCTCTGGTTATTGCTCTTTTCCACTTCATCTACACCTGCTGTGTCATTCCAGCAGCACCTGCCTCTGCCTTTGGCCACACTGTTATCACGAATAAATAATAAAACCACGACAAAAAAACCGGAGGGCAACGTGCAGCATCACAGTCTTGGCAATCTGCTGAGTTCACTACTGCCTGCCACCCTGCCGCCGGCAATTTAGTTTCTAAAACAAAGCACAAGGACACCCCGTCTGTCTGCCTCTTGCTTTTTAATCTCACTCCATATCCCCGACATATACCATCATACCTTCTCTTCCATCTTGCCAGATACAATTTTACCTGCCTATAATATTTATTATTTATTGCAACAGGAGAGCAGAATATCCAAGGACAGAGGACTACTACTCCTACATTTTTCACTGAAAAGAACATGTACCTGTATGTGATTTATCTCAAAGCTGCTTCTTCCAAAGTGTGACCTCTGTTTTCTGAATCAGACAGTAGCAGCAGAGCTTCAGTGTGGTGCCTGTATTAAATTGGCTCATTATACATCTTCTTTCTTTGTTGTCCTATTCAGTTCCCTGCTCTCCTTGCAAATTATCCCAGGTGATTTTCATCATGTGACAGTTGTGTTTAAAGGTTGTGAGCCTTTCACAAACCTGGAGGAGACAGTTAACAATATATTGGTTTGTAACACTGTAGTGTTTCTTGAATGTACAATAAAATCATGTAATTGAAAATAATAATAAAAGAAGCCCTCTGTTTTTATAACAAACAAAGGAACACCTACACTTGTTGTGTGTAACTTTGAGGTTCACCAAACCTAATACATTTATGAAACTTTCAGCAGGACGATTTTGCATTTGCATCATCATATGGGATGATATTCTTAGTTCCTGAATATCTGACCATTTTGGAAATAAATAGCTTTCATCTAATTACTAAAAACAATACTATGAGGATTGTTTTCAAATTGTTTTTTGTAAGTAAGAATATGATTTTAATTCTAAATAAGCCTTTAAGTATTTGGACATTTCTTTGTCATAAAGGAGACAGTATTGTGTCAGCACATTAAGAACATTTAACGCATGTGTGACATGAAGTGTAAAATTCAGAGGCCAAAATATTTTTCAATGTATCCAGAGATTCAGTTCACATGCTGTACTTTAGTAATATATCCATCCTCTACTGTTGCTAACAATCCACAACAAGCAACACTTGCTGATAAAACATGAAGACATCAGACAAAGATGCCTCTGACATTAAATTGCATTGCAGCATCACTGAGACATCAATGCACTTAGCAGCTGTCACCGTGTGTGTGTGTGTGTGTGTGTGTGTGTGTGTGTGTGTGTGTGTGTGTGTGTGTGTGTGTCCTGTGGTCCTGCCTCCCTCGACAGTAATAGATCTGGGATTGGATTAAATATGGCAGCTAGGAGTCTGGTACATCACACTTCGCAGCCTCAACCACGATCAACTGATTACAAATTACAAGGCGGCTCCAGATAATGACTAAAGATGTCCTTTCCAGACTGGAAGATTTGCAAAGGAAGACACACACACACACACACACATACACACACACACACACACACACACACACACACACCACACACACACACACACACACACACACACACACACACACACACACAACAGACAGACAGACACACACACACACACACACACACACACACACACACACACACACACAGACAGACAGACAGACAGACAGACAGACAGACAGACAGACAGACAGACAGACAGACAGACAGACAGACAGACAGACAGACAGACAGACAGACAGACAGACAGACAGACAGACAGACAGACCACACACACACACACACACACACACACACACACACACACACACACACACACACACACACACACACACACCACACACACACACACACACACACACACACACACACACACACACACACGCACACACACATTAACACATGTCTATCCATGCACGCACATACACACAGATCAATTACGTACAATCTATCAATAAACATAAATGACACGTCAAAGCAGTTTACAAGATTGGACAGGCCAATATAAGTGTACATGTAGGCTGCTGGATACACCCCCCCCCCCCCCCCCATCACAGTCACCCCGGATCTCACACCAGGCCGACCTGCACAGGCAAGTTAAATTGCTTTCATGTCGAATCTTGGTGTGTTTATTGATTCTTTTTTTGTAGCTATTGGTCCTACGCTATCGGTCTTGCTGCTGATGAGTTTGGCCCATATTACATTGTATTTTAGATTAACCTTGGAGAAAGATCTTCATAATAAGCATTATGAGATTTCTGTAATAACCCTGTTAACTGCATGTGCTTCAAGAATAAATTGTATTGGAGATATTTATCTTTAGCTCAGCTCTGGTCCCAGAATAAATCTGTATATATTTAGATGAACGGTCATAATGAATTTAATTATCTTGCTTTTTTGTACAGTATATGCTTACATTTGTATTACACATGTTTAAATAAAGGAATAAATATAACAAACCGTGGTAATTTCAAAGAACATATATTGATTACAATGATATTATTCAACCCAGTCTCACGGCATTTCGTTTGCCTGCACCACGTATTTTTGTCCGGTCGGGTCTTGGAAGACCGGAAGCTGTGGGGTTCATAAAAACATGTTCTTACTCAAAAAAAGAAATGGGGCTCAGAGCCTCAGATTACTGAAATCTGTATTTTTTCAAATCTTTTTTTCCTTCTAATTTGTTATTCTTTTCTAAATAACACACTGTTATTTACTCAACAATAACACACAATTATCCTTGTTTTTATTTATTTGTTTAATTCTATAATCTCTGGCTTTTTTGCCGTCCGTCAGGAAGTGAATTTCAAAATAAAGTAACAGGAAACAGACGTAGGCCTATATGGGACATTTCGAGCATCATTGCGATACACACCAAGCCCCCAGGAAGTGCGAAGTACCAAACGGCGGTACTACACTTCCGTATCAGTCACTGGGCCCGGAAATACTTTTTCCCATTGACTAACATTGGGAAAGAGACGTCTGTAAATCGTTGGATACTTTTTTTTAAACTAAATAAACTACCCAGTATGAACGTTTGTATAGCCCTTATTAAAAACATTCGGTTCTCAAGTTGTAAAATGTGCTAATAACGTTATTCTGAGAGTTATTTTCCTCTGCATTATGAACGTGGATCTAACCAACGGGACCGCGCCGCCCGGCACGTTCATGTGACGTGTTCAGTACTATGAGTTTTACCTTTACCCATGGATGCACAATAAGAACGGATTATATGATTACATGAATACTTTCGTGACGTTTCGCTCTCTCAAAAGTTGGGCCAATGGCTATTTTGCACATCCCTTTCAAGATTTCAAGATTTTCTAAGGTTTATTAACATATCATATACACAACTACGTTGAAGTTATGCAATGAATGAAAAACTTGGGTCGCAGGTTCCTCAACAGTGCATTACAAGACATCTATCAATATGTGTGTACCTCCACCATTAAACTGTCATATTCTGCACATTTCTTATACTATCTATATACATCTTATAAGAGTATAATTCATATGTATAATATCAGTTAAAATAAGTGCTTCAACATAGTTCACACTGCAGGAAAGCAATATATTAGACATTATGTACTTTGTCAGGCTTAATATTTATCTGTAGATACCCCCAAAGCTTTTTTCTTATTTAAAAGAAGACCTTAACCTAAAGTATTCTTTAATGTTTAATATCTGATTCGTAAAACATCACAGACAGAAAGGTATATCCGTCATTTAATGGTAAGCTATTGAAATTCTGATTCCATAGATGTGTCACCCAAAACCCCTGACTATTCTCTCAACTCAGTATTTACATTCTTATATTCAAAGAAAATCAGTAATAACTTTTAAAAACTACAAGTCCTTTTCTATCAGCTGTGCACCGTTATGGTGTAAATATAACCTATCTACCAATTGGATCAAATATAAAAGTCAGCCGAATTAGTATTGATACTGCAAGGAGACATATTATGTGAAGAGAAATTGTTTGAAGATGTTGTTTAATTGCTGATATATTTATGATCCACGTCACATATTCAGTTTCGGTGGCATTTCTTCCAGTTTGTCCAGAAGTCTTCTAATCAGGGAACTACGGCAGATGTGTAATATTTAATGCAGCCGAACCGTGTATTACAATGCCGTTATGTGATGACTTCCAAAGAGAAAAGCAAGCACACTCGGATTAAAGTATTATTTTTAATTTTTTTTTAATGTTTTTCGGATTTCATATCGCATAAACACAATATCCCAACGTGCATTGCGGCTAAACAATCCAATCACCAAGCTTCAACCATAGCTGAGGATCTTGGGTAATCAGTTCAGTGGGTGTGTATCTGTTTCTGGTTATTTTATTTTGAAATTCAGTTCCTGACGGACAGCAAAAAAGCCAGAGATTATGGAATTAAACAAATAAATAAAAACAAGGATAATTGTGTGTTATTGTTGAGTAAATAATAGTGTGTTATTTAGAAAAGAATAACAAATTAGAAGGAAAAAAAGATTTAAAAAATACAGATTTCAGTATTCTGAGGCTCTGAGCCCCATTTCTTTTCATCACAGACGGCAAAAACGATTTAAAATTAAAAACAAT